CCTGTTGAGGCTTACAAGAAACAGTTCTGATTTCAGATTGATAAGTTCCAGCATTTAAATTTAGTTTTAATCCTCTTAACATATCAATGCTCACAATCTACTCTGGAATGGGAACTATCATTACCTCATGCCCCTGTCTAGGAAGCTGGCCACTTTTTAAATGGAACTGTAGTTTGTTTGGCAAAAATTCCCTCCCCTAATCTAGTAATTGTAACTGATTTCCCTTTGAACAATTTTGGATTACCATAAATTAAATTGGTCTCATCTCTAGTACCCACCAAAGTGCTAGTATAGTAGTTGACCCATTTTTCCAATAGATTATGACTTTAATGTGGGGCCTAAAGTCTTTACATGTCACCCTCACTTCTGGAGCTGGACTTTCCAGTTTTGAGAGTAAAACAGCAGACAAAGCAAAAGGAGCCACTGTAGCAATGGGGACCACCAGGGAAGCATCAGCCAGGGGCTTTCTGGAGGATAAGGATGCTTCTGTCTTTTATCTTTAAACATCTGTCGCAGTTCTTGGCTAGTCACTCCATCTATTTTATCACGTGGCACTTCTGACTTAAGAAGGGCAGTGAATGTTTGTCTCTGGGGGTTGGAAGCTCTCCTCCCATGGTGCACATGGGGAGGTTGCCTTCCTACAGTCCAGTCCCAACTTCCCTCTTTGCATTACCTTTTAAATCACTCAAGTCAATAAGTTATCTATCATTTATTAGCAGAGCCCTGATAATTTGTTTGTTGCTGGAGGGCTTCTCTCTAGGTTCTACCAAGCCCCGCAGTCCCACAATCCAAGTATAAAATAATCACTCAGACGCTTATATTACTTATAAACTGTATGGCCGTGGCAGGCTTCTTGCTAACTGTTCTTTTATCTTAAATTAACCCATTTCTATAAATCTATACCTTGCCACGTGGCTTGTGGCTTACCGGTGTCTTTACATGCTGCATGTCTTGGCGGTGGCTGTAGTGTCTTTCCCCCTTCTTCCTGTTTCCCCAATTCTCCTCTCTCCTTGTCCCGCCTATACTTCCTGTCTGGTCACTGGCCATCAGTGTTTTATTTATATAGAGCGATATCCACAGCATTTGCTTATAAGCAGGAGATGCGGTTTTAATTGTCTTATCAGGGTCAGTGAGACAGGTCAGGAGGCAAAGGCACTTGCTGTCAAACTGGACGATCCAAGTTTGATCCCCAAGATCCACATGGAAGAAGAAGAAGAAGAAGAAGAAGAAGAAGAAGAAGAAGAAGAAGAAGAAGAAGAAGAAGAAGAAGAAGAAGAGAACCAACTCCCAAGAGCTGCCCTCGCACTTCCACACATACTTTGTGTCATGAGTGCAACCACCATAATAAATAAGTAATAAAGAATAAATATTTTTAAATTGTCCTATTCCTGATTTATGTTCCTAAAGCAGGGTTGTTAGATCATCAGCCGCTGCAACACTGGATGGCTCCAGGATTCTCCCACGGTTTGTACACAATCCTTTAAGGAGTATCATGGGTGATTAGCTGTGGGTCACCAATCAAGAGTCATCGCTTTGTCCCTGAGCACCCCTCATAGCCAGTTCGGACATGTTGGTGCTGCCAATTGGCCTGCCCTGTGCATCTGTGGATAAGCCCTTATGCTCCACACTCAGAACACATTGCACACTGCAGATTCTGTGGTGGCAATAACAACATGAAGTCTCTTGAATCCAGTTTAATACCAGTGACACCTAGGTCATACAATTGCACCAGCTAGGTAATCAGGGGTTCCCCAAGCCTCTAGGTAACCCTTGATAATGTCATTTATTTCATGCCATGTAAAGTATTCTATTACATCCCTTCAGATCCCCAAATCCTCCTGTTGTTCTAAGCATCTGTGCATGAGAGCCCAGCTTTCAGTAAGGTGGAATTCTCTCTCCTCATCATTACATCCCTCATCACTCTAATCCTTATCCCGTACATCACTATCCCAGTACAGGTGTCAGGATCTCAATTTGGCCACAGCATTTGCCAGGTGGCATTTCCAGGCACTGGCCCTCCACTTCCTCTCCTGCACTTGTTCACTAAGGATATGTGTCTGCCATTGCAACATCATCAACAGCTCTGCAAATCTGCCACCTCCTTTTCCCATTGAACATTTTTCTGTCTTCCCCGCCTACATCTTCAATAGCTTTCAAGTAGATCATTAGCAAACACCAGCCTCACCTGGCCAAAAGGGTCATATTTATCCCAGTAACCATGGTTTTTGAAGCCTAAGCTACATGGTGTAGCTTCAAAGCTTTCAACTTGCTGGCCCACTCTTCACAAAGACCAACCTGATTTATTCACTACGAAGCCAATACACAAAAGAGAAGTTCCTCAGAGCCAGGGATTTGCTCAGCAGCCTTAGAATGCTTTCTCTTTCAGAACAGAGCTGTATCTTGTGGAGGGATCCATGCTAGCCATGCTTATGGTTTGGAAAGAAAACAAGCAGAGTATGAGGCCAGGCACTTACAGCACCCAGCAGAAACTGTCTGAGGAGGCCCCACCACCAAGACAGTCAGCTGGCACTCTGACCACCAGAGGATTCCAGGCAGAACGTGTTCCCCTGGGTGAGACTTCCCATTGGCAGTTCACACCACAGGCATCTTTATATCATGGGATTAAACAGTAGCAGAGTCTTTAGCTTTGGAAAGCTGCCTAGGAATGCTTACCTCCCAGTGTGTTCAAGGACACAGCACTTTTACTCCTTCTCATAGTCTCATTGGGCTGTTTTGCTGTTCTTTCTTCTCCTCACAGGACCAGAGGAAGCTAGTCCATTCCCAGGCAAGAGGTCTTATTAGCATGCTTGGGTCTAAAGTGGGGAGGGGGCAGCCCTACCCTAAGAGCCAGGTTCTCAGTGATCTCAAACTGTGTGACAACTCACTACTATAACATATATTACACACACACACACACACACACACACACACACACACACACACACACAAACACCCAAAAGATAAAGGGACTGGGGAGTTGATTCAATGGATAAAAAACATGCCAAGAAAGTGTGGAGACTGGAGTTTGCACCCTGGGAATCCACATGAAAGCCATGGGCAGACATGGTAGAAACCTGTAATTCCTGCGCTGAAGGTAGAAACAGGATCCTTTGGGCAATAGGCTAGTTAGACTACCTAGAATCTTCAGATATGGGTTCAGTGAGAGACTCTAGCTCAATGAATAAAGTGGAGCATCACCAAGAAAGACTCCTGACATCAACTTCTGGACTACACACACACACACACACACACACACACACTACACACACACACACACACACACACACACACACTACACACTACACACACACACAACACACACATATACATACACATATACACACACATTCCTAGACACAGGCAAATGCATACACATGTGCATGTATACAACACGGGTTCAAGCAACAAAGGTTAAAGTAGAGAAAAGAAAAAAAAAAAAAAAACTATGTAACTTTGTGACTAACAGAACCATCTGCAACTCTGAAAGGAATAAGGAATGTCCTGGCAGGGCCAGCAATGTGCTTTAGTCTATATGATAACACATCATTTCAATTTATAGTATCTCTAAGACAACAGATTCCCAAAGTTTTGATTCTCTAAAGTGCTTTAGGCAATGGTCTAATAGTTTCTAACAAACAGAAAACAAAGGATGGCTTATTGGTTAGTCTGGGTATCTAGGCCTAAGGCACTAGACTGAAACCTGGCCCAGTATGTCGCTTCTGGGTCCTTTTTTTCACTGGCTTTGATGTGCAATTGCACACATGGGCATACACATATGAAAACACACACACACACACACACACACACACACACACACACAATGTAATACAAATTTAAGGAAAAAAAAAGTCTCAAAAATTAATTTGAAACGGATTCTACCCAAGCCATGCCTGCAGCGCTCCCGATCTCAATGCCTGAGCACAAGTAAACCAAGAAGCTGGGACCTGGGCTACAGTTTCAGGTTCTCACTGTGCCTCCAGGAGAGCCCAGCCTCAGAGGAATAAAAAATCACAAGAGGCTGGGGCATGTTTACAATTCTCACTGGCCTGGAACTCAACAAGTGGGCGAGGATGGCTGGCCACTAAGTCCCCGGGATTCCTCCTTTTCCTGCTCTCCCCCAGTACTGGGGTTACAAATGTTTACCACACTCGGCATTTTGTAGGTCCTAAGGATCGATCTCAGGTCCTCAGGTCCAAGGTGGCCCTAGGTTTGATCCTCATCACCAACTTAAAAAAAAAAAAAAGACAGCAAGCAAGGAATAAATTTCGCAGTGGGAGTCTTCCTCCATCACTGTAAGTCCTAGGACTTTTTAAGTTGGTTTTTTGTTTTTGTTTGTTTGCGTTGCGGTTAGTATCCAGGACTTTACACTTGGTACACAGGGGCTCAACACACGAGCCACACCCTGGGTACTAGGAATACAATTTGTAGTCTAGGAGTCAGTCCTGTTCAGCTCGCCTGTCTGTCCTCAGCTTCTGCGCCCTAATGCATTTAGCCTTGGAATTCCCAGTACGTGACTCGAGACCAGTCTGCGTAGGCTGAATAGCTAGACGGCAGGCATGCAGCAAGGCTTTTCGGAGCATCCTGTGGGGCAAGTCCCGGCATGAAACCTTGCTCTTCAGGTCTATCCCGCTGTGCACACTACGAACCGACCCGGCCCCACCTCCCGACCAAACTTGCGTGTGCAGGCTCCCCGCTGGGTAGCGGACCCGCCCCAGAGTAGGACTCCCGGTCTCTGGATAGGTCAGTACTGGAGGCCCGGCCCCTGGGCAGAGGACCCGCAACGCGTAGCCTGGACAGCGGCCCCGCCCCCACGAGGAGGTAGCCCCGCCCCCAGGAAGAAGCCCCGCCCCCAGCGTTCCGGCTCATTCTTAAGGTGGAGCTGTGTACTGGTCCCAGCCTGTTTACTGCCGCTGAACCCCAGCTTGTGCGCCCCTCAGGAGGCTGTCCCGGAAGTGACACCATAAAGCAGTCGTCTCTTCCGCCGCGGTCCCCGTTTGTCAAAGAACAAATTGTTGTTGGTCCTACCTGGAGACGGTCTAGTGACGTGGAGGGTCCGGGTGTGGATGGAGGCCGGGAGCCAGCGCGCTCACCCCTGCCCGGGCCGGCGGGAAGTGTCCTGTCCGTACACTGCGTCCCCGGGGTGCTTTTTGCCTTCCTTTTCTTTTTTAAATAGTATTGAGACAATGTCTCACAATGTAGTTCAGAGTGATTTTGAACTCCTGACTTCCTGACCCAATTTCTGATGTGCTGGGATTACAAGGCGTAACTACCACGCGTGACTCGGGTCTGTTTTCGTGTCTTCCCCTCTTCAAAAGCCCCTAGAAAACCTTCTGGTTTCATTTCTTTTCTTTTCTTTTCTTTTCTTTTCTTTTCTTTTCTTTTCTTTTCTTTTCTTTTCTTTTTTTTTTTTCAGAAGGAAAAACATTCACCTGTCAACATACATTTAGTTGAGTCTCGCCTTACATCTTGCGGCTGCAGGACCTGGTGATTCTGAGGCTTTCAGGTGAGCACTGGATAGAAAGACCATTTCGGGGAGTCAGGACACCCTATTTATTTTTCTTTTTGAAGCAGAGTCTTTGATAGCCCAGGCTAGCCTCGACTCATGACCTCCCCACCATACCTGCTTCACTGTGGTGATTCTGAGGGCATCTGACCGTCTATATAATCGGTCAGAAGTAGGGAAACAGTGACCATCGAGACAGGCATAGAGCTGCCACCTTGGGCAGTCCTATGGAATAAACAGTCCATGGAAAAAAGTAATTTTCAATGGATACTGGCCAGTTCTTTGAACATAACAGTAAGAGGGGAGAACTTGAGAAGGATTTGTTACTCACATTGAATACTAAACAGTGAGTGCATTGCTGTTTTCTACTTGTTCTGACAAAGTGCCCGAAAGAAGGAACTTACGGTGAGAAAGGCTGGCTTTAGGAAGGGGTATAGTCCACAGGTGGCGGTGCCCCACCCTTTAATCCAGCACTTGGGAGTTTGAGGCCAGCCTAGTCAGTCTACATATCAAGTTCTAGGCCAGCCTGGCCACATAATGAAACCCTGTCTCAAAAGCAGAAACAAAAACAAACAACACAAAGAAAACAAAGCCAACAAACTGAAAATAGATTAGATTTATAAATAACTTCATAATAAATTACTGCAGTCTCAATGTTATGGTTCCATCCATTAGGCCCAATGATTAGGGTCTCCATACCCAACACCTAATTTTATTAAAATACAGATTCTAATCAGCCTATATTTTGCTAGTATAGATTTAGATGGAGCATTCTGTTTAGTGTCTTTCTCAATAGCTCCTCGGCTGCAGTTTGCCTTCATCTATAGGGAAACACAACATACCTTTTCAAAACCACTGTGAATACCTCAGCTTGAGTCTCCTTACAGATAATCTTGCAGAGAGAAACTTGACTTTGTCCAATTTTCTCCAGGAATACAAGTATGATAATACATTGATGACAGCCTCTTCAAAGATATACATTGGACTCTCACTAAAGTTATACATATTCAGGGCTGATGGGATGTCTTGGTCCGAGTTCAATTCCTTGGACCCATGTGTTGGAAGGATAGAACCAACTCCTTCAAACAGTTCTTTGCTCTCCACACGTAGGATCACAACACGAACTCCATTAGGTCCTTCAGATACTTCATCATGGTAATGGCTTAGGTAGTTTCATGCTTCCTGAAGTCTCGGGTGGCCATTCTAGTTTGTGTCTACTCACATGCTCTTGATGGAAGAAACAACACCCTTTTTTGAGGTATTGTCTCAGGTATTCCAGGCTGATTTCAAACTGTGTGGTCAAGGATGACCTTCTACTCCTAATCCTCCTGCCTTCACCTCCTGGGATTACATGCATGCACCACCATATCTGGTTTTATGTAGTGCTAGGTGTAGGGGAAAGGGGCTGGCTAAAGAAACCAACCCTGTCTCAAAAAAAAAAAAAAAGAAGAAGCAGAAGAGAAGAAAGAAAGAAAGAAAGAAAGAAAGAAAGAAAGAAAGAAAGAAAGAAAGAAAGAAAGAAAGAAAGAAAGAAAGAAAGAAACCCACTCTGACCCTGGAGCCCAGCACTAGGAAAAGATGGCTCAGATAAGGCCAGTGAAAGAAACAGTTTGGCTCAGATCAGAGCCATCTCTGTCCATGGCCAAGTGACTTGTGAAACCAACCACAGAGCAGGACAGTAGAATCCTGGCCCTGGGGCCCAGGACCAGGGAAAGAAACACAGCCTGGGTTTGGGACCTGAGCCGGAGAAAGGAACCAAGGAAACAGGCCCGGAGTCTGAAACCAGTGCCAAAATGACGTTCTTGCCATGTACTTTAAAAGCAGCTGCTGGCTACATCCTAGGATGTCTTGGAAATGGTCTCTCAAAGACCCTGAGCCCATGACCCTCCAAACTCAACTGCTAATTATACTTAGCCTTATGAAAATTGCAACAAGATGGCCTAGATGTGCCTATAAAATAGTCTCCAGCCTGGGTCCGTAGAGTGCTAGCCTAGCATGTGTAAGGAAGCCTTGAGTCCATACTTAGCACCAGGGGGGAAAAAAAACCAAGCTGGATGTGGTGGCTCATGCCTTAATCTTAGCACTTGGAGGCTGAGACAAGAGGATTGCTTCAAATTTGAGGCCAGCCTGTGTGTGATACATAGTGAGGTCTAGGCTAGCCCAGGCTGTGGAGTAAGACCCTGGAAACCGTGGCCAACAGGTGTCCCGTGTTCACTGCTGTTGCACAAACTGTTCACTACTGCTTAAAAAATTGTCCTGTTCAGAATGATGCTGGGGCCGGGCGATGGTGGCGCACGCCTTTAATCCCAGCACTCGGAGGCAGAGCCAGGCGAATCTCTGTGAGTTCAAGGCCAGCCTGGGCTACAGAGCGAGATCC